GGATGGTGCAGAGGCGTCCTCCCTGTCGGTGTCCCCACTCCACATTCCGTCGTCCTCGGAACAGCCGGCACAGGCCGGGCGCGCGTCAGCTGTCCGGCCGCAACCCCCTGCAGGGGCGCTCCTTGGCCTGCTGCTGCCAGCCAGGCTGCCCCAGACGCAGGCGCTCAGGTCAAGGCAGGGGCCAGCCCGAGCTGCCGACCCAGCTGCTCCTCCGAGCAGACGCCAGGTGAGGAGGCGAGGATGGAGGGAGAAATACCTCATCCCACAAGGAAAGCTTGGTGACCCCCTGTCTCCCGGGGCAGAACTCCCCTACCAGGAACGGGCATTGCACAACGTGGTTGCATCTGGTTCTGAGCGAGTCCGCCGCAGCTGCAGGCCCGGGCACCCCGCCGAGCAGACCCCCCAGGACCTCCGGGGCCCCGTTTCTACTGCAGGCAGCTGGGGGCCACGTGTGCGCCCGGGCACGTCTCTTGGCCTCTCCCAGACTCGGCTCCCTCATCTGTAAGAAGGTGGACGATGTCCGCCCTGGACAGGACCGCGGACGCGAGAGGTGCCCGGGCCAGGCAAGGGCCACGAGCGCGGATCTGCTGGTTTCTCCCTCGATTCCACGGGTGGGCGTGAAGCGTCCTGTTGGGAGTCAGGCACAAGTGTGACTTAGGAAGGGCGAGCGTTGCTGGGATGGGTGGGGAAAATGTTTTCTGCATCACGGGGCCAGCTGGAGCGGGGAGTGGCCGCCGCAGGATTCCTGGGTGCAGCTGAGACAGCTGGGGCGGGGCGTGCTGGGCTCACACTGAGTTCAACTTTCCAAATAGCCCTCGCGCCACTGTCCAGATCAGACGATAAGAATTTCACGGGACTTTTGTCTGGAAGTTTGCGGTTGACAAGGCGTTTTTTACCTACATGATCACAGTAGCTTTCCCAGCAAGGCTGTTAGCTAGAGAAGGTGCCTGCCCTGCCCTGGAGCCTGAGAGAGGACGAGTTGCAGGCTTGTCCAAGAGAAAGGCCGGGGGGACCCAGCCACCCACGTCCCTGCCCCCTACTACCCTTCCTTCCAAGAAGCACTCAGGACCAAGCCTAGGACTCGCTACAAAGGTGGGTTCCTAGCTAGACTGGCGGGGATGACTAGGAATGGAATCCAGGCAAACACCTGGCCCATCATAGGTGCACACCATTCTGACTCTATTTTTTAATGCCATCCTAATTTATCATATGTTGAACTCTGAGAAAGGCCTAGAGAGAGCCACTTTGCTAAGGCAGGCATTATTCAATTTTTCCTTATTCCTATCATAATATTCTGGGTCCTCCTCTCAGAAAGGGAAAGTCCTGCACGGCAAGTTTTCTGCCGACCTAGTCTCTCCATTCACAATCATTCGCTAAGGGCATTGGCATAGGAAGTAACACGCTGAGTCTCATGCACAACACACAGGAAATGTCCTCTTTAACCATCAGGAACGTACATTCTAGTACCGGAGGTGGGACTTCCGAAAGCGAAAGGCGGGATCCTCTGCTGGGGCAGGGCTTGGTGAGTGCAGAGGCTGTGGTGGGTACTGTCAGGCCTCTGAGCCCAAGCCAAGCCACCACATCCCCCGTGACTTGCACGTAACTGAAAAATCACAAAAGAAGTGAAAATGCCCTGCCGCGCCTTAACTGATGACGTTCCACCACAAAAGAAGTGAAAATGGCTGGTCCTTGCCTGAAGTGATAACATTACCTTGTGAAAGTCCTTTTCCTGGCTCATCCTGGCTCACAAAGCTCCCCCACTGAGAACCTTGCGACCCCCACTCCTGCCCGCCAGAGGACAACCCCCCTTTGACTGTAATTTTCCTTTACCTCCCCAAATCCTATAAAACGGCCCCTATAAAACGGCCCCACCCTTATCTCCCTTCGCTGACTCTTTTCGCACTCAGCCCGCCTGCACCCAGGTGAAATAAACAGCCATGTTGCTCACACAAAGCCTGTTTGGTGGTCTCTTCACACTGACGCGCATGACAGGTACAGACAGGAGGCGGTCGCTCAGCTCTCACAGAGCTATATGGTGATGTCCTGCCCACTTGGAATCTGGGACCCGGGACCTGAAAAAGAGCACATGGGCTCATCCTAGCCTGGAGGTGCAGACAGTGAAGATCAAGTTGATTTAATGCAATCCACAGGGGTAAAAATAGCTTTAAAAAAGAATGAACATTCCATTGGTGCTTTTAACGGAGAAAGTGCAACACAGTTTTGGATATCTTTGCTGGCAGCTGTTCATTATGCAACAGTTCAGCTGGTGGCAGGAAGGGCAGGAAGAAAGATGAGCAGATCCAAAAGATCCAGAGATGGGGAAGGGGCCAGGAGGAGGGGAGGGAAGTGGGTGAGGGTCTTTTCAGAGGTGAAGGGCAGAAGTCCAGAGGTGGATGGGCGTTTTTTTAAAGCTGTTTTTACCCCTGTGGATGGATTGTGGTGAGCCAAAATCACGCCATTGCACTCCAGCCTGGGCAACAAGAGCATAATTCCATCTCAAAAAAATAATAATTACATATAATACATTATTATATATCTCATATATATCTATATATATGTCTCATAAAATCTTAACCGTTTTTACACGTATAGGTCAGTAGCATTAAACATATTCACATTGTTCTGCAACAGATCTCCAGAATTTTTTCATCTTACAAGACTCATCTATTATCATCCATTACTTTTTTTCCTTTTTTTTTTTTTTTTTTTTTTTTCCTGGGACAGAGTCTTGCTCTGACGCCCAGGCTGGAGTGCAGTGGCGCGATCTCAGCTCACTGAAATATCCTCCTCCCAGGTTCAAACAATTCTCGTGCCTCAGCCTCCCCAGATTCTCTGAAATCTCCTCCTCCCAGGTTCAAATAATTCTCGTGCCTCAGCCTCCCCAGATTCTCTGAAATCTCCTCCTCCCAGGTTCAAACAATTCTCGTGCCTCAGCCTCCCCAGATTCTAGGATGACAGGTGCCCACCACCACGCCTGGCTAATTTTTGTATTTTTAGTAGAGATGGGGTTTTGCCATGTTCACCAGGCTGGTCTCAAACTCCTGACCTCAGGTGATCTGCCCGCCTCAGCCTCCCAAAGTGCTGGAACTACAGGCGTGAGCCACCGCGCCCAACCTCATCTATTACTTTTTAATGGAAAGTAATAAAAGAGTATTTTCAAACACGTGAGCCCCAAAGGTAATAAAAGAACATTTTCAAACATGTGTAAGAGAGTTGTTCTGTTTCTGCTGCTTTCAAAAATCCCAGGGTGAGGGTGCCTTTCCTTACTTCACCTGCTCCCACCCTAAGTCTCGGGTTGGGAGACTCCAGACTTGGTTTTCACCTGGCTCCCCCTGCCCATCCTGGAGCTTGTCTCCCCTCCTCCCAGCTCCTGCTTCAGCCATCAGTCCCTGCCAGCGTGTGTTCAAGACCAGGGGCCAGGCTTGTTGGGGGGAGGTTGAAGGTCCACAAATGTGTTGGGGCATGTGACAGTGGGGCTCTGGGGCAGCCCAGGAGTTTGGGCTCCTTACATGTGGCTTGATTCAACCCCCCAGTGTTGCAGAGGAAGATGCTGAGGCTCAGAGGCCACACAGCTAGTTAGGGGTTCATCAGGGACTAAGCCAAGGGTCCTGTCACCTCACTCAGAGCCCTTCCTACTAAAACGCACTGAAGACAGAAGGGTCATGCTCCACAGGGAAAAGCACCCCATCACAGCTGTGTGTGGAATATGCACCCCGTATGCTGAACTGCGGTACAGGACAGCCAGCCCCTTAGCATGAGACAGTTGTTAGATCACATGCGTTGCAGACTGGACTTGCTGCACTTAACTCTCTACACAAATATTTATTCTTCATTGTGTACTTCATGGATAGATGCTCACTATTGTCTTATAAGAGATGAAATGGGGTGGCGAGGAGATGTTGGTTAAAGGAAACACAATTTCAGTAATAGGAGGAATAAGTCGCTGAGAGCTGTTACAGCATGGTGACTGTGCTTAGTAACAATGTATCATGTTCCTGAAAATTGCTAAGAGAATAGAGTTTGAGTGTTCTCGTCACAAAAGAATAAGTATGTGAGGTAATGCATACATTAATAGCTCAATGCAAGGCTGGGCACGGTGGCTCACGCCTGTAATACCAGGACTTTGGGAGGCTGAGGACGGGAGATCACCTGAGGTCAGGAGTTCGAGCCCAGCCTGAGCAACATGGAGAAACTCTGTCTCTACTAACAATACCAAATCAGCTGGGTGTGGTGGCACATGCCTGTAATCCCAGCCACTCGGGAGGCTGAGGCAGAAGAATCGCTTGAACCCGGGAGGCGGAGGTTGTGGTGAGCCAAGATCATGCCATTGCACTCCAGCCTGGGCCACAAGAGCGAAACTCCATCTCAAAAAATAATAACAACATCAATTATTACTAATATTATTACTGTTATTAATAACATCACTCCCTGGGACGCTCTGGAACAGGTTCCTCCCACATCCATTTGGCCTGTGAGCATGGTTCTCTGGTTGATCACATATATATTTTTAAATACTCTATGTGAAATATTTTTCTTTAAAAAAAAAATTTTGGCCGGACACGGTGGCTCATGCCTGTAATCCCAGCACTTTGGGAGGCCGAGGCGGGTGGATCATGAGTTCAGGAGATCGAGACCATCCTGGCTAACACGGTGAAACCCTATCTCCACTAAAAATACAAAAAATTAGCCGGGCGTGGTGGCAGATGCCTGTAGTCCCAGCTACTTGGGAGGCTGAGGCAGGAGAATGGCATGAACCTGGGAGGCAGAGCTTGCAGTTAGCCAGGATCACGCCACTGCACTCCAGCCTGGGTGACAGAGCAAGACTCCATCTCAAAATTTTTTTTTTAGGCCAGGCACCGTGGCTCACGCCTGTAATCCCACACTTTGGGAGGCTGAGGCAAGAGAATCACTTGAACCCAGGAGATGAGGTTTCAGTGAGCCAAGATTGCACCACTGCACTCCAGCCTGAGTGACAGAATGAAACTGTCTCAAAAAAACAAATTAATATGAAATGCTTCATGAATTTGCATGTCATCTTTGTGCAATGTCACACTAGTCTTCTCTGTATCATTCCAATTCTAGTATACATGCTGCCAAAGCAAGTACGAAATATTATTTTTCAAAAGAATTAGAACCCAAGAGAATACATTAACTCAACTGCGCAAACACAGTCTAGCGTTTAGCGGGTACCCAGGCCGCTTTAATAAACTTTGACGCCCCCATTTGTAACCAAGACCACTCAGGCCGACTGACCTCAGAATACCATGGGTCAGGGTTACATTTACCCACCCACCGATACTGGCCCCGGTGCCCACTCGCCAGATCAGGAGGACTGTGACTGCCCTTCCCAGAACCTGCAGAGGGTAAATTCTGACAACGCTTCGCTGAAGGTGCCAGATAGCAGGACAGCTCACTCCCAGCCTAACTCAGAACTGATGCCTGCTCGCCTGGCTTGCCACTGGGAGCCGCAGGTTCCTTTCCTCAGCGAGGCAGTGAGGAGGAGCAAGTGCGTTTCTGTCCTTGAAGTCCACGTGGCAACACCCAGGGCCCAGAGAGAGGTCAACACTGGGGCACCCCAGCCTTCCCAGCCTCCCCACGGCACCCTCCCGCTCTCCACTTCTTGTCCCGGCCTCTGCCTCTCCCTGCACAGTTGGCAGGTGGAATGCCCACTTCTTTCTGGAGAAACTCCATCCTTTATCCACCAAGAAGAACGTCGCATAAAAACGCCAGGGTCTGCTGTCATTCATTTTTCCAGATTTGGGGGTTTAGTTGAAAATGACACCACCCATGGCCATTACCAGCCCAGTTCAAGAGCCAGATCGGCCCTCCGGCTCCCCTTCCCCAGGGACTTCTCAGCATTTGGAGAGGATGAGACCCTCCTGTCTTCATCCTCAGTGTAGCTCAGAAAAGGGCGGGAGAGGAAGAGACACCCATCAGCCATCTCCCACGGTCCAGGTGTGTGTAAACACCAGCACTCAAACCTGGGCAGTGAGCCTGGAACCCTCACTATATGTGCATGAAACAGAAGCAGGTGTTCTGAGAAATAAGACTGTGATCAAAGGCATGGAAGAGACAGCAAGAGGAGGAGGAAAGCGGGCAGACAGGAGTGCATGGGTAACGTGGCTCACCCAGAGCACCAAGTCATGAACGCCATCACTGCCTTCGACTCAGGCGAGGAGCCCTGTCCTTGGCCTGCCCCCTCCCTGTGGGGCCACTGGGATGTGCCCACAGCTCCTAGATGGCACCTCAGCCCCCAGACCTCAGGAGTCCCTGCCCAGACCTCCCCAAACCTACTCCTACGGCCCCTTCCTCCTGCAGGGTGGCCTGGGATGGCTGTGAGTGGGTGAGGACTGAAGTGTCCACAGGTGTGTACCGGGAGACCCATCTCTCTGTGGGACAGAACCGGAGGTGGGGAGAAAGGCGGCTGTTGAAAGTGAAGACTGCAGGCTCAGACCAGCCGCCCCACTTCCATGTCCTGATGCAAATCAACGAGGAGCCCTAGAATTCTGATTTCTTTCTTGTTTTTATTTTCTCTCTCTCTCTCTTTTATTGAGACAGGGTCTCACGCTGTCATCCCGGCTCCAATGCAGTGGCGTGATCACAGCTCACTGCAGCCTCCGCCTCCCAGGTTCAAGCAATCAATCCTCCCACCTCAGACTCTGAAGCAAGCTGGGTACAGGCATGTACCACCATGCCTGGCTAATTTTTTAACTTTTTGTAGAGACAGGGGTCTCACTATATTGCCCAGGTTGGTCTCAAGGTCCTGGGCTCATGCAATCCTCCCATGTCAGCTTTGGGAAGTAATGGGATCACCGGCGTGAACCACTGTGCCCGGCCTAGCCTGAGAATTCCAAACTGGAACCTGGCTTTCCAGATACCACGGTGTAGTTTTTAAGATGGGAGGAGAGAATGTATCCTCTACGACTTTTGCGGCTTGTGTGCATTTGGCCACACTGCGTCACAAACAGCCTCGCCCCGGGGGAGCGAGGGTAGGGGGACCACAGCCTGGAGCGCCCCAGGCCAGGCGGACAGGTCAGGGCTTCACCTGCTGGCTCGCAGAAGGGAGCGGCCAACAGACACCAGGGAAGTCAGGGCTGGGATTCAAAGACAGGCCAAGGCTGCAGAGAGACCTGGAGCCATTTTAGGAAAGAAACGTGAATTCAGGCTTTGCACAGCAGAATTGTCCCCGTGTCCTTCCTGGGGAGGCCTTGGTTCATTCTGCGGGGAATCCCTTGTGTCTCCCCTCTGATGGGAGGGAAGGGAGACAAGCTTTACAGGGGGAAGGTTTCCTCCCGGTCTCCTCATCCTCCAGCACCGCTTTGCTCCAGACAAAGCGCACTCCGCGGGTACCAATCCCTGCAGACAGCGCAGAGCGAGCAGGAGCCCAGAAACCAGCAGGTCGGCTTGACCCTTGTCAAATCCAAGTGACAACGGACTTCCTGAGGCCACGCTAACTAGACCTACTTTCTGGCTCGATCAGACCCCTGGACTTAAATTCCAGCCCAAGGACAAGCACTGAAAGGGTGGCTATTTCAGCAAACGACCAAAGCTTTTAAAGTAGACTCTATTAAACCACTTGATGGCTGGATTTCTGAGAGAGAGAGACTAAAGCTGGAGGAAGGGTTCCTCCAGGGATGCACAGGCCCTCCGCTCTCGGGCTCCCCACACTAGACTTCGGGCCGGCCAGATGGGTTAAGGTAGCACTCGTTGGAGTCAATAATTAAGCAATGGAAACAAACAGCCTAAATAAGGGTATTGAGGACTCAGGAAAAGGTGGCTGGGTAATCTCAGGCTCAAAGTTTGAAATGGGAGCGCAGGAGCTGGGCTGTGGCCGCCTCCTCTGCTACCTGGGCGTGTGGCTGTGTAAAGAGGTGTGGGGACCCGTAAGAAGGCCGAGGAGCAGCACTGGCGTGGAGAGAGCAGTGGGAAGGCGGGGACCCAAGCCTTAAAAAATATTCCTTAATTTGGAAACATTTGCAAAACTCCAAAAGAAAAACTTTTAAAGTTCTCCACTCCCTTCCAAACACGCAAACATGTACACAAACAATTAGGATTTTCCCAAAGTTTTCATCTATCTAAAAAGAAAGTGCCAGTGCAAATTACAGAACATCGTCGCTTCCTCACGTGCGGCGTTTCCAAGGGCCTGGGAGGGGACGCAGAGGCTCCCCTGGAGGTCCCAGTCTGAAGCGTTCAAGTGAGGAAACTCCCGCAAAAGCCCTGATGCATGCACACTGCGACCGCAGAGGCCGGAGCATCCCGCATTTTGGAGGCTGAAAGGCTCTCGGCGCTCCCCTACGGTAACCTTTTCCGTTAACAGAGGAGTCCGCTGAAGCGCAGAGCCAACTAAAAACAGCTAGAATTAAAATCCAGGTCACCCGGCCCGCACCAGCGGTCATTCCTTTCCACCACGCAAAACTGGCCGGGAAGACGGACTCGCGCGCGCCCTCCCAGGCCGAAGCGCATTTCTTCGCTAACGCGTGAGGGGTCGGCTGCGTAGACCGGCGCAGAGGGTGCTCACTTTCGGATCCAGCCCTGTAGTCACTTGAGCTAAACCCCGTTCCAAAGGGGTGGGGGTCGTCGGAGCGGAAGGGCCCCTGTATCTCCGGAGACGGAAACAGTAAGACGGGGAGGCCCTAAGAACGTGCGCCCGGGGGCGCAGGGATCAGAGACCCCGAAAAGCTCCACCGCCGCGCCCCAGGGCCGTCTCCCCGCTGGGCTGGACTCGGCGCGGGCGGCTGCAGGGCTCCGGGCGCAGCGCTGGGACCCCGCGGGCCACGTCGGCTCCGCCGCCCCGACGCCCCGACCCGACTCGCGTCTCCCTCGGGCGCGGCACCGCGAGGGGCAGCAAAACGGGGGTGGGGGCGGGCGCCGCGCCCCTTCCCGTCTCCTCCCCGCCAGCCCCTGGCCCGTCCTTTTCCGCCCGGCTCCCGGCAAGGGTCCCCGACTGGCGGCCGCGTCCTTCCTCGCCCGCTGCAGGCTGGGCCGCGGCGTCGAGCGGGGGCGGCGGGGCGGGGCCCACAGCCATTGGCGAGCGGCGGGGCGGGGGCGGGGGCGCGGAGAGTCGGCCCCGGGACGCTCGCAGGCGGCCGGCAGTTGCCGCCGTCGTCCGCAGAGCCAGTGCCCAGCGCAGAGCCGCGCCCGCCATGAGGGAGATCGTGCACATCCAGGCGGGCCAGTGCGGGAACCAGATCGGCACCAAGGTGGGCCTGGCGCTGCACGGGGCTTCCCCGCGGGTGGGCGGCTGCAGGGCCCCGGGTCTCCCGGCGCGACCCCCCACGGGCGCGCACCAGCTCTGCGCCCCTGGGTCCTCGGAGCCCGGTGCGGACCCGCGCGGGCCGCAGGGAGGGAGCGCCCAGGGCGTGGCCGGCCGGGGAACCTCTGCTCCTCGCTCCCCGCCCCCACCCCAACTGGGAGCGGCTGCCGGCGGCTCCGGCGCGCCTGGAATTCGGCCGCCGGGGCGCCCGGGGTGGGCGCGGATGGCGGCGTCCGGGGCTCTGGGTTCTGAGCGTGTGTCCCCCTCGCCTCGCCCTGCCCAAGTTCTGGGAAGTGATCAGCGATGAGCACGGCATCGACCCGGCCGGGGGCTACGTGGGAGACTCGGCGCTGCAGCTGGAGAGAATCAGCGTCTACTACAATGAGTCATCGTGTGAGTATCGCGGCCGCCGCGCCCTGCCCGGCCGGGACCCGCGTGGACGCTCGGGCGCCGCCTCTGCGCGCGGCTCGTTTGCTTCGGGAAAAGTTCTCCCGGGACGTAGCGGGAGGCCCGGCCACTCCCTTCGCTCCTCCGGGGCGGGAAATCCGCCGTCAGTTTATTATTCAAGCTGCTGGATTCGGCCTATCCCGAGGGCCAGAGCGCTGGTTCGCGTTATGAAATCGGCGCAGCGGTTCCTGTCCAGCCTTCTCTGTCTGGCCGGGCGCGGTGGCTCAAGCCTCTGATCCCAGCGCTTTGGGAAGCCGAGACTGGAGGATCATTTGGGCCCACGAGTTCAGGACCAGCCTGGGCTGTCCACACCCCGGCCCCCTCCCGCCCCGATCTCCAACAATTTTAAAATTCGCCGGGCGCGGTGGCCCGCCCTGTAGTACCAGTTAACTGAGGGCTTGA